TGGTAAGGTTGCTAGTGAGCAAGAGTGCTTATATGAGAACCTCTCTAATCTTGAAGTACCAATTGGGATCTTAGACCGGCAAGTTAAAAAATAGAAGAGTAAGAAAGTGCTTCCTTAAAAATGTTGAGGAACAGTGTTTTAGTAAGGGTTTTAGTTGAAAGTGCTTATTTGTGGAGTCTTGGATGCTATATGTGTCCTATGATTCCCTTGTTCCCTTGAGTTACACTTTTTAACCTTGGTAGGGTTTGGATGCATGATTTTGATAGACCTCTTTTGGTTTTAGAGCCCAGTAAGGTTATAATGAGCCTAGGTAATGCTTGAGTTTGTTAGAAAGGAGTAGTATTTGAGGTTTTTTTGAAAAAAAAAGGGGCTTACTCCCAAAGAGGAGAGATCATGTGCTTGAGTAGCAACATTGATTGAGAGTCTTAATATCCTCATCTTTTCTTCTATTCATATTCTAACTTGAGACCAAGAGTTCCTTTTTGGGCTTGTTTTACGTTTAGGAGTCATGAGTGTTTTAGAAATTCCATGATCTCCTTATGGTATGCATGTTTTTGAAAGATTTTTACTTTGTATAAAATGCATTTTTCATGATTTACATGTTCATCATGTTGTTGAGCATTTAGTATGGTGATGGCATATTTAACTTCGTGAGATGATGTGATGAACATGATTTGTTAAGTTTTGATGAAATGGCACATTGCTCCATAATGTTGTCATGGGCTTGCTTATTGTTGTAAAAGGTAATCCCTCCTATGACTATGTGATTAATGATGTTTAGAAGTGATTGAGTAGGCTCACTCCCAAGGAGAAGAGGGTGTGCCTAGCTAACATTGTGTTATGTGCTTATGTGATGCCATGACTTCTTTATATAATGCATGTTCATGAAAACTTGTGTTTTGAAAGAAAATGAGTTTATGTGAATTGTTTCCCTCATGTTGTGGTGCTTTAAGTAAGAGTTGCCTATTGTACTTCATGAGAAGAATATATGAACATGTTTTAGTTAGGAGATAGTAGTTCCTCCTTGAACATGACAAGTTATGAGAATCTTATGCATAAATGGGTTGTTAGATATAGTTCATACTTCCTTGTATTGCATTGAACATGTGGAGTTGAAGTTGTTGTTTTCTCCTTGAATAAGTGCACATTATGAATAGTGTATTTTGAGTTGTGCATTATTGTAATGTTTCATGCATGATTGGGCTGCTAGTCTTGAGTCTTCAATTCCAAAAAGGGTTTAAAGTGTCATTCGAGGATGAATGTTCCCAAGTGGGGGATAATGTAACACCCCGTAATTTAGTGAGTTGAACTGGTGAGTTCTAGAGCCTTTGGTAAGAATTTTGGAGTGTCGTATGAGGGTTAAAACTTGTAAAAATGGTTCCCGTACTTAGAATAGGGGTATTAGGGGTTAAACGTTTGGGTATGACTCCCCAAGGACCACCCAAGAGGTCCTTGAACAGGACCCCAAAACAATCCCAAAATATGGAAAATTTTGGTGAACCACGGATGGCCAACCATGGCCAGTAGACCAGACCACACCCCATAGGTCATGGACGTAGGTTAAGGCCTGCCACGACAAGCCTCAGGTGCAAACCACGAGACCACAGGACGGCCAGTAGACCCATCCATGGTCCATGGATGGGTGGGCGTGGATACTGCCAGATTTTTAGTCTTAGTAGGTGTTTGGGAATTAATTAGGTAATTAATTAGGGGTTAAGGGAGGTCGGTTAGTTAGTTAATTAATCACCTATATAAGCTAATAAGACCCTAAAGTAAGTCATTAATTCACTATAACCCAAGTCCCCAAATCAAAACCCAACGACTCTTCTCTCCAAGAATCTTCTCTCTAGAACCTTCTTTGAAGAACTAAGAAAGAGATCAAGGAAATCTTGAAGGAAGGAGCTTTTCAATAAGAATTTGGAAGGATTCTACACCTAAGGTATGGGAATTCTTCATCCTTGGGAATCTATAACCCCAGGAGCCCTTTCAAAAGCTTTTAACTCAATTCTAGAAAACTCAATTAGCTAGGGTCTCAACTCAACCCCATCGATTCCTTTCAAAGTTGTTATTATAGATTGAATCATGTTAGTTATGGATGATATTACTGATTTTAGATGAGTTTAACTTGAATTCCAAAAGAATCCATAAGTTTTACCCAATCCTAGCTATGGCTCTTCTCTACATTATGAATGTTGTTAGAAGTTGATTCAACTGATTGAATGCGGGTTGATTATGATGAAATTACTTGATATTAGTGTAAATCTACATGTATTTTTTATTAACCTAAGATTCTAGGGTGAAATTGATATAGACTAGGGTTATGTCATGGAAGAGGCAAATTGTGGGCTTAGATGTGGCCTTCTAAAATTAATGAACTTCTTGATAAATTGCCTTAGATTAGATCGCCTAAACATGAATTGTTGATGAGTGAATCTTGTAGACGCGAATGAACTTGATTAGGTCTTACATGATGAATCATAGTTTAGTAGTATTGAGATTTAGTTTACTTGATGCTATATGACTATAATTGAGTAAGAATGAAGCATGTGTTTAGTGTACCTTGAGAATTAGGTTTACATGATGACCATGTGAGGTGTTTCTTGAGAGTAATGCTCATAATATGAAGATGACTCCTAAGGCTTTAAAGGTAAAAGCAAAAGGGAATGAACTATGAATATTGAGGCTTTAAAGAAGAAAGTTATTGTGCACGTTGAATTGTATAAGGTACTATTGTGGAAGGACTTTACCCACATGACCTACAATGTGAGTATATGAGCTTATAAATACAAATGAATGAACTATTTGAGTTATGATTATATACATGTCTGTTATGATAAATGTTAGATGTGTTGATTTACATGGTCTGTGATCCTTTAATGCAATATATGTGAATGATGCATGATTGTGATATTATGTACATACTTATGAACACTTTGAGAGGGAAGTGTCTATGATGATAATGTTGTTGTTTTGTCATTGCATGGACAATTACACACACACTCCATGAATAAACATGATCATTAATTGAAAGTATAGTTCTCATATGCACCTTTACACATTACTATGCACGAAATGCACATGACCATGATGATCCTAATTGTGTTGATTGAAAGTTCATTCTCATGAGAACACATGATCTTGGTGTTACAGTTATTCTCACATACTAATGTTGATTCTAAGGTTGAAAGTACATTCCCACTTTATTGAATGTATGAGCTATTCTATGGGTTGTATTGAATTAAGGGCAAAGTATTCATTCACACATGTAAATGCAATTCAAGACTAATTATGTATAATTCAGGAAATCATGCTTAGCACCGAGTGGATATGGAAAATGAGGAAAAGGCCTTTCCGCTATTGCAGTAGGTTGGGTCATCTAAAGTAAACTAATGAGATGGAAGGCCCTCCGCCAATGCAATAGGTTGGGTTTCTAGAAGCAATCTCCATGTCCTTTAAATATGTGCCCACATAGGTCTTTAGCTAGTGGATTCACCTTATAGCTATACATTTAGTTCTACCTTAGGCAAGTAGGACACCTTCTTTCGGTGTGGGGTTACACGACACCGGATTCCATGTAGCTCACATGGTCTATGTCGTATATGGATACCTTTCCCTATATAATAAAGATAATGAATGAGACATGAACTATACCATGACTTCTTCGTGAGTTTTACTTAGTAGGAGTGGGGGTATGGTACTTCACTTCCATATTGCACAGGTAAACTTAGTAAGATGTCATGGGATTGTTCCTTTATATTATAATGAGATTTGAATGTATGCATGTATGTTGAATAGATAGATGTTATGAATGACTTTCCTTATAAATCAAGTAATGTACATGACTTTTCCTTATTTATGGCTATTTCTTATGATGAGGTCTAAGGATGAAATGTATGACTAAAGTAGCTCCAAAGGATACTTAGTAGGGTTGGTATTATGGGATGCCGACCATACATTGCACAAGTGTTTCTTAAGGGTTGCTTATGTGATGATTACATTTAGATGAGATGATCTTGGTATTTGACTTTGTAATGTGTTATGATTGGAGGCTATGTATTGTGAAGACTGGGATATGTATTTTGTTGATGTTGGAAACTATGCTTGTTATTATAATGATATCTCTCATGTTATGATGAAATGTATGTGAGTTGCCTTATGGGTTTCATTCTCCAACTATTTCAAAGATGATATTAAAAAATGGCATATAGCATGATTTTAAATGAAATATCCCTTTTATGCATGTTTTAAGGTTTTTGTGCATTGCTTCCATACTTGGTACTTTTTGTGCTAACCCCATCATTCTACATTTTCTATAAGTATAGGCTTTGGAGATATTGCATTCCATCCTCGTGGTTAGGTTCATAAGAGATCAAGAAGAAGAAGATTGGTGAGTCCTCATTGTATTCGAGGGCTCAACCATATGTCATTTATTGTCTTTCTTTTATGTTTTAGACTTTGGATTTAAGGGCCGTGTCCCTAAATTTGTATTCAAGAGTTTTAATTCAATGTTATAAATGGCTTAAAACATAGTGTCATAGATTCTCCTTCATTTTATAAGAGACTTCTATTGTAAAGAAAAGTTTTAAATTCCGCACTGTTTTTCCTATGCTAAGTTCAAGTTATGTTATGAGGCTTGTATGCGACCTCTTCGGGGTCAAGTACGCCGTGTTACGTCTAGGGGGTACCCCTGGGTCGTGAAATCAATGCATACCCTCCATCTAGTTACTGGCCTCATAGGGACCAGCTCATTTTTCGGATTAGGAACAACAGTAATCCCACATTTCTTAGGTACACACTGAACAGGACAGACCCAACTTCTATCTGCAATGGGGTATATAACGTCAGCATCCAACCATTTGATGATTTCCTTCTTCACTACCTCTTGCATAGGTGGATTTAGTCTCCTTTGGTGCTCAATACTTGGCTTGCTCTCCGGATATGAGTTAAATTTCATGAGAATAAATTCGAGGAGGAATCCCAATAATATCCACAATAGTCCATCAAAAATCCCGCTTGAACCTCTTCAAAACTGAAACCAATGCCTCTATTGGTTCACCACTCAGATCTGCAACAATGATTACCGGTAAAGTGCCATCTTTCCCCAAGAATACATACCTCAAATGATATGCTAGAGCCCTGAGCTCCAATTTTAGAGGCTCTTCCACATATGGTTTTGTGGGCGGAGAGTCGTGATTCGTCATATCTAACTCCAATCTTCTTGGTTTGGAACAAAATTTGAACCTATCAAGTGTGACAACTAATCCATCATAGTCTTCAATACCATCACCATCAAAATTCATCATTACAGCTGCCAGTGCATCAACACACAACCTCTCTTCAATAGACACTTCATAACCTCGCTCCACAATATGATTCACAACTGATACCAACTTGAGATCACTTTTCTGCTTCATTGACCTACATATATTTAAAGTCACCTCCTCATTATTAAGTCTGAACTTCATCTGCCCTCTCTCTATATCGAATAACGCTTGCCCAATACAAAGGAATGGTCTCCCTAAGATAATGGGAACCTTAAAATCAACCTCACAATCAAGTATCACAAAATCCGCTCGAAAAATGAACGACTCCATTTTCACAAGGACATCTTTGAGAACACCAACGGGCTTCTTCACAGTTCTATCAGCCATGAGTAGACGCATCGCAGTCAGTTTTTGTGCCCCTAAACCCAACCTCTTATAAATGGACAACGACGTCAAGTTGATGCTAGCACCCAAATCACACAAAGTTTTTGCAAAGTGTAAAATCCCGATGGTACAACGAATAGTGAAAGCTCCAAGATCCTCTTTATTTTGGACAAGTGACCTAGTAGCAATAGCACTGCAATGTTGCAACCTCTCACCATTCTCAATACTGACTGCCCTCTTCTTGGTCACCAAATCTTTTATAAATTTTGCATATCCAGGCATTTTCTCCAAAGCTTCTATAAACGGAACATTGACCGAAAGATGTTTCAACATAGTTATGAACCTGCAATATTTTCCTTCTTCGATCTTCTTCACCAATCTCTATGGGAATGGAGGTGGAGGTCTAGGCATGGGAATAACTTTTTGGGTCACCTCTTATTCCTTCTATGTAGCATTTCTTGACTCTCCATTAACCTCAACCTCATCTGCATCTTTTTATACCATAATTTCGACCTCAAACGACATAGGGGGATCAATGGTCTTTTTACCTCCTCGATTAGTGACTGCCATACAATGCCCATCATTTTTCAGATTCTTGATGTTGTTGCTAGGAAGTGTGCCAGGTTAAGCTGGGTTCACAGTAGTGGACAACTGAATAAATTGTTGCTCAAGTTGCTTGATCGACACTGCATGGGCATCAACTTTTTGACCGATTCTAGAAAAGTCATTTCGCATCTCTTTCACATTCTCATCAGCCACATCAAACCTCTTCTTCATCATCTGCATCACATCTTCAATGTGTGACATACTACCCCCAGCCTCTCTATTTCGAGATTCCCTATTACCACGTGGAACATATGGCCCAACTCTCTCATTTATGTTGCCATAGTTGTTATCACGATTGTAGTTCCTATCCCGGACATATATAGTTTCCCTCTCGTTTGGAGTTTCCATAGTTCCGACCTTGGTTTCCTTGACCTTGACACAAATTATCCGAGTTGGAACCTTGGGTGTTGGTTCGGAAACCCCCCATTTGATCATTTACCAAATACGCATCCTCCTCATAGTAGCATTCCTCAACTAGTGGTGGTAGAGCTCTAGTTAGGTAATTTACCGCATTCACCTTTTCTGCATTTCCACTCACATGCTTCAATACCAACCCAAGTATTGTCCTCTTCTGATCCATCCCCTCACGAATGTCATCATTAGATTGATATGGTGTAGCTTGAACAACAAATGTGCTTCTTCCAGTATTAGCTTTTCTAGTTCTCTAGGCCTTATTAATACGGGAAATCTTCTCCAGTTTCTTAGCGATCTCCTCAAAAGTGCACTCACCATATGATCCTCCAGCAATGGTATCTAGCACAACCTTTTCATTGTCATCTTGCCCTCTGTAGAAATACTCCTTCAACGACTCATCATCTATGCGGTGATTCGGGACACTTCTGATGAACGCAGTGAACCTATCCCGTGAACTGCTCACAAACTGTCCAGGTACTGCTACAAAATTATTCAACTTGTATTTGTGATTTTTCTTCTTAGACACTGGGAAATACTTCGCCATGAACACTCGATGCAATTGGTCCCATGTATAAATTGAATTATATGTAAGCTTAACAAACCACACCGCAGCATCACCGGTCAATGACAGAGGGAAGACTCTCAAACCTATGACATCCATATCCAACTATGGTCGTCCCACACAACTCTTGCAGACACTTCTCAATTTATCCATGTGACCATGTGGATCTTCTGACACTAGACCATAAAACAAACCTCGTGTTGTATGCATTTGCATCAAACTACTGGTTACCATAAATGTATGCCTTGGAGGTAGAGGAGGAAGAATAATGGGTCCTTCTGATTCAACTGTATTGAAGTCAAACCTCTAGGTACACGCAACCTCTGTGCTGAAGGATTCTGAGCCCTTTATTCATCTCCGATTAGATTACCACCATGAAACTGAGTGTGCACATTTACAACCCCAAGAAGCTGCAATTCAACTCCATCACCTAGATTCTCTCCAATTGGATTGTTGTGAAACCCTTCGCAAAGTTTTGCTCAACTCTAGATCGTAGGGGATCAATGGTTCGCCTCAAAATCATGTACTTTGCATACACTAGAGTAGAAACCTGTAGAAAAAAACAAAAGAAAACGTAAAATCAGGAAATAATTTACTAAAGTTCAATAATGTAGTAAACTTAATCTAAAAGCTTTATTCCCCGGCAGCGGCGCCAAAATTTTATACGCTCAAATTACACCTCCCTAAAGAAGTATAAGCTATCATTGTCAAATAAGGAACCCAACTTGTAGGTTGGGGTTGATCCCACGAGGAATATGGTTCAGACTTAAACTTAACTCACTATTATATCCTTTTAGTCAAGCTATTTCCGAGACAAGTAAATAAAGGGGGGGGGGGGTTGTAAGCAACTAACATATTGTTGATTAAATAACAAGTAAGCAAGAATCAAACTTTGAATTATCAATATGAGGGAGAAACTAGGGTATGTGTGTTCCTTACAAGCTCTTAACACAGTAATCCTAATAATAGTACTCTTTTCCTAGTGTTTTACATGCAAAGTTGGTAAGTTAGGTATCCCTAAGTGATTGGTCCTCCTAGTAGGGAATTTCACCTTGCACCTTGGTCCAGCTACGAGTGTGTGATTTACTAACCCTTACCTTTACCCAGATTAGACATCACATTAATGTATGGTTTAGTTTTCACCCTCGCTCCAATTGACATTAGACTATTAGATAGAATCCATTAAATATTTGTTGTTAATTGTTTTCTCATTAACAACCTCCTTGATTTGGCAAGTACCAACGAGGAGATTTCTAACGCGTGCACTCATTTAAAGGACTTCTAAGCAAAAGAATTAACAATTCATGCATCAACACTATTAAAGAATAACTTAATTATTATTCATACTTTGTTAATTTCTCATGGTTCCCACAACCCTAGTTGTGGATTTAGCTACTCATGTTTGAGAGTTCATAATTAAGAAGAAAGAATTCATGAACTTACAATTAGAATAGATGAAACCCAAAATCTTCTTTTTAATTTCAAAGTGAAAATCTTATTAAACGAAACCCGGAAATCAAATTGCTAAAGTTTGCAAGTTAATTCCCAAAAACACCAAACTAAGAGTTTACAATAATGTCTAACCCCCAAAACCGAGGTTTATAACTTCTATTTATAGAATACAAATCCTAAATAAAACAGGAAACAAAATAAAGAAATAACTGGTAGGACGCGGTTTCAAATGACGCTTCGACCTACGATCCGTAGGTCCGCTCTGTGGCTCAACACTTAGAAACTTTCATTAGGTAGTGGAACTTTCAACTCTCAGATCATCAATGATGAACGTATAGGACAGACCATGCATTGACCTACGGTCCGTCATCTAGCTCTGTGATTCAACATTTGTCAACTTCCCTGATGTTCCACCTATGATGCACCACCTACGGTCCGTGGACTAGACTACGGTTCGTAGTGGCACTCTGTGGTTTGAGTTACTGAAACTCATCTCCTAAGCCAAGACCTACGACTTCCCATCCACGGTCTGTCGATGGACCTACGATCCATGGATGGCACCGTTGGTGGCTACTTACCACTTTTCAGCTCGTATTTTCATCAACTGCATCAAAGACTATTTCCTGCAAATATTATACACAAAACATCAGTTTGAATCCAAAATAGCCCCAAGATACACACAATCTCTAAGTGAAATGCATCAAAAATACCATAAACTCACGGTATATCGAACACCTATACTATTTTAGAAGCTTCACACAGACCGTGAAGTCCTCCATGAAAGAGACTTACCTGACTTTGAGTTGTGCGTGATTTTCGTACAATCATATCATTCAGCACATAGATAATTAGGTGGCTCATCATCAATCATATTAAAGGTCTTTGAGTTCTCTTGCCAATGCAACCTTGTTTGCCTTTTTCCGATCCGAGAGTAAAAAGTTATGCTTCTTCTAGAAAACTATTTTGGGCGCGGAAGCATGACGACCCACTATACGGGACATCATGTGATAAACGGCCCATGAAACCCCTCATGAAATTCACTAAGTCAGCTTTAAGTCAGGATTGGATCGGTCTTATCTCCTATGCATTCGGTACTTAAACTACATCATTCGATACATAAACGATATTTAGCATACCCTCAAGTCCCATAAATACGTGGAATTGTAGGTTTATATGTCCCCTATGTTGAGCATCAACTTTATTGATCATGCCACAGTCATGCCTTTTTACCCCGGCAAGGTATATTGGGTCCTCTCGATGGGGCACATATATCAGACTCCACGTTTAGCTCACGTAGTTTATGTCAATTAATAGTGTTTCCCAGAGTCAGATTCATGTTGTATTGTCCATGTATTAAGTATTTACTTCACTATTCAAGTCAGCATGTTATCTTCATGATTAGTACTTGGCCATTGAATCCAACTCAGTTTTTAGTTATGCTTCAGTATATCTATTTCCATGTTTAGTTGTTATATTTTTCAAAATAGCATATATCTTGAATTCTTAGTACATTCAAAGTATTAACACATACTTTTGAGATACATCATTGTATGATGTAGGTTCAGGCTCTCAGCACCCAAACCACGCTTAGCTCAATTTCCAGGCTATTCTCAGCAGCTTCAGTGGTGAGTGCTTGATGAGTCTAAGATTTGGACTCATTTAGGGCTTTATTTGTATATATTTAGTGTCCTCAAATGCTTATTTTGTGCCAATAACTGATGTAAAACCCTTGATTTCCAGGTATATGGATTGAGGAACAAAGTAAGGACACTAATTTGCAAAAAGGAACAAAGTGAGCTGAAAGAGTGAAGAAAAGAAATCCTGGTGATCGCCAAGTCCACTTGGCGAGTCGCCGAATGGCCATTTGACCACCCAAAGTTCCAGTGTGCGAAGCCTTAAAGGAGAAAACCAAGTTGGCGAGAGAAAGGAACAATCGGCGAGTCACCGACTAGTTCCGCAATGTAGTGTTGGATCGCCCAAAGTTACAGAACTTGATGGAGTTGAAAGACTAGGCAGAAGGACGAGGACATTGACCAAAGGTTGGATCGCCGAGCTGATCGGTGAGCTCGACTTACTACGCTGAAAGGCCCTTTGCAGCATATTTTTGGAGTCTATAAATACATTTTTGAACATTTAGTTTAGGAGCATATTTTATCAGTTTATCAATTATCAGACTTATTATTGAACTCTAAGTATTGAGAGAAGTTTTTCACTAGTTTTTCCTAAGCTTTAAAGAATTGAATTTTTTCACTTTCGAGAAATTGGAAGTGGGTCTTTGAGATTCTTCAACTTGAAGCAT